GAAACGGCAGATTGGCCTTCATTTTCCACTTTGGCTAACATCACTGAGGAAATGGTCAATACTGCTGATATCAATGATGCAGTTGAGGTTGTCACTTTGACTATCATTCAGGCAGCAGAAAAAACAATGGGGAAGACATCAACTAGATATCCAAAACATTGTAAACCATGCTGGAACCAGAATTGTGAGGCAGCATTTAAAGCACAAAAGAAAGCATGGGGAATTTTCAGAAGATACTCCACTACTAGAAATTTGATAGCTTTTCAAAAAGCGAAGGCAAATGCCAGAAAAATACGAAGGCAAAGCCAAAGGGATTCTTGGAGGAAGTATGTCTCTAGTATAAAATTTTCCACTAGCTTAAAAGCAGTCTGGGATAAAATCCATAAAATTAATGGGAAATATATTTCTTACCTTCTGTCCATGCTGGAAAATAATGGCACAATAATCAGCGATATACAGGGTATTGCTGATTTGTTTGGTGAAACGTTTTCTTCTTCATTCAGCAATATAATGTTTACTAGGAATTTCTAAGCTTATAAAGCTCAAAAAGAAAAACAGTGTTTAAACTTTTACTCCTCATCGAATGAGGAATATAATATGCCATTCACCAGCATAGAACTACATACAGCAATCGCTCGCTCGGGGAATACTGCTGTAGGTCCGGATAAAATCCACTACAGCATGATTAAAAATCTTTCAGACAATACTCTTTGTAATGTTCTGAATCTGTTTAACAGAATATGAACAGAACATACTTTTCCCGACTTTTGGAGGTTATCTATTATTATTTTCATTCCCAAACCTGGTAAAGCTCACAAGAATTCCTGTAATTACAGACCAATTTCTCTGACAAGTTGTCTCTGTAAACTTTTCGAGAGAATGGTAAACAGGCGTCTAATGTATCTCTTAGAGAAAAAGGAATACTTTTCACCACATCAGAGTGGTTTTTGTAGGAACAGAAGTACCACTGATAACCTGGTAAACCTTGAAACATCTATACGCGAAGCGTTTGTTAGACGACACTTGTTTGTTAGACAGCACTTAGTGTCTATGTTCTTTGACATAGAGAAGGCCTATGAGTGCTGTTGGCGATACGGGATACTCTGTGATTTACACCAATTCGGATTGCGGGGTAATTTGCCAAATTTTATAAAAACCTTTTTACAGAATCAAAGATTCCAAGTTCGGATGGGCAACACTTTATCTAGGCTCTTCATACAAGAAGAAGGTGTTCTTCAAGGTTCTATTTTGAGTGTGACTCTGTTCCTAATTAAAATTAACAGCATAGCTAACTGTTCCCCTCCCAGTGTGAAACACTCTCTGTATGTGGATCACTTTCAGATTTCCTGTCAGTCTAGTAATATGAGTTTCATTGAGAGACAACTTTAAACTTCCCTAAATCGCATATATAATCGGTCCAAGACCAATGGGTTTACGTTTAATGCAGCGAAGACCTCATTCATCCACTTCTGCCGAAGGCATGGCTTGCACCTGGATCCTGAAATTCACCTAAATGGCGATAAAATTTAATTGGTGAACTAGGCTAAGTTTTTGGGTGTTTATTTCGACCCAAAACTGACATTTTTGTTGCACTTACGCAATTTGAAGAGTAGATGTTTAACACGTTAATCGCCGTGTCAGTCATATGTGTCTGACGCTAAGAAGTTGTACATGAGCCATGTGAGACATATATGTCTGATGTACGCGATTTGGTAGAAGGCCACGTCAATCACAGATATCCGACGCAAACGATACATTTGCATTATGTTTCGAAAGCTTGGCCTATCAGGAACAAAACTTGAAAATTTCTTGGCTTACTACAAACAATAAAATAAAATAAACATAGTTATATAATGGTATATTGTTTCAGTTGAAAAAATACATTTTAATAATTTTTATTTTGATATAANAATAAACATAGTTATATAATGGTATATTGTTTCAGTTGAAAAAATACATTTTAATAATTTTTATTTTGATATAATTAATTACATTCATTTTTCATGTTGTCCAAAACATTCTATGCAAAAGAAAGGCTGTTGTTCGCAGTCTGAGCAGTACATTGAAACTTTTTTCTTGCTGCATCGTGACCTTCTGCTTCTTTTATTTGAGCGTAACATCCAGTGCACATTCTTCTTATTTTTTTTTTTCAGCAGTATACATTATTTTTAGCATATATATTAGTTTCAGTAACAATGAGATTTATAACCTCTTCATCAAAAAATAACATAAATGTATCATTAGCAGAAATATTTTTTGGCAAATCTAATTGTAAACCAGATTTTCCTATGAAATCAAAACATATATGTCTACCTTCATAAGCATTCCATTGAACATCACTAACCTCATAACATTCACACTCGAGTATTTTGTCATTTTCAATATTTTCTGTAGTTTCTTCTGACTGTAAATCTTGAAGAAATTGTTGCAGATTTTCTTCATCTGCATTCAAGGAAGGACTATAATTTGGATCATTTATTGAATCATCTGAACTATAGTCTTCGTGCTTTTCATCAGATGTGTTTATATTTTCAGCAATGTTTTTTAATTCACTTTCACTTAGAATCTTTCGTTTTGTCATTATTTGTAGATATTTACAAATTATTATAAATATTATTTATTTTATGTTCTTTATAAAGAAATAGTCACAGTAACAAGGTGTTATTCGGTAAATGCTACACGTACCACTGATTCCTACACAATGCGTTCAACGCTGTGTTCAAAACAACAGGTTAATACTTGTTGTATCTTGTTTGGATGTGTTAGACATATAAGACTGACACGGCTTGTCGAGAAAAAAAGTTTTAATATAGGGCCATGTCAGTCATATATGTGTGACATAAAAAGTAGTGTTTTTCTGGGAATTTTGGCAAAAAAAATTTTTTTCTGTGATACATTAAGTTTCCTTGATACATTTTTAACTAAATTATCTAATAAAGTTACCATGGCTTATGTGAAAAATTTTTCTGATTTTATCGTGGCAATTAACGTTTTAAAATCTCTAAATTTTTTAAAGGTACTATGCTGCTCATCCTGGGGAGCAGACAAAGTTTCTATGCTTAGGATTTATAGGGCCCTTGTCCGCTCTAAGCTGGATTACGGTTGCATTGTTTATGCCCCTGTGCGAGAATCTACTCTTTGGATGCTGGATCCAATTTATTATCAAGCACTACGTTTGTGTACTGGTGCTTTTCGAACTTCTCCTGTACAAAGCTTGTATGTGGATGCTTATGAGCCTCCACTATCTCTCAGGAGAAAACAGTTGTCTCTATTTTACTATATAAAACAGAAATCTCACACTAAACCTTCAGTTGATTGTATAGTATCAGATACTCAGCTGAAAAGGTTATTTGAAGCTCGCCCAAGCAGTGTCTCATCATTTGCCGTAAGAATGGAGAATGTGACCAGCACAATTGATCTAAACACAGGCAACATTTCCCAGCTAGAGGTCTGTAGTATATCACCTTGGTCAACTCCTTTGATAAGTGTTGACCTTAGCTTAAAGCAATTTCCTAAGGAATCCACCCCAGACTATGTCTACAGACAGCACTTTGTAGAAATTCAACATCGTGACAGAAATTTAATTCCTATTTATACAGATGGATCTAAATCTGATGATTACGTTGGCTTAGTTTTCGTCTGCCAGGATGAAATCGTTGCAGAACAAATTGCATTGAATTCTTTTATCTTTTTTGCAGAGTTGCATGCTATTTATTTAGCTTTAAAGTATATAAATAGGAAAGGTCATCGTTCCTGTGTTATTTACATTGATTTAGTTAGTGCACTTCAGGATTTGAGCTCATGTGAATTTAGTTGTCACTCTATAGTGATTAAAATTCGTAAGCTCTTATGCCATCTTACTGCGAGTAATTTCTTTGTAAAATTTTGTTGGGTCCCAGGCCATGTAGGTATAAAAGGGAATGAAGAAGCCGACTCAGCTGCAAAGTCAACTACTTCTTTACAGCATACAATGCATATTGAAGGAGGCGATTTGAAGCTAGTAGTTAAAAAACGACTAGCAGAGAGATGGGAAAACGTGTGGAATGCACAAGTTCACAATAAACTACATGAGATCAAGCCAAATATAGAAAATTGGACACATAATAAACAGTATGACAGGAGATCTGAAGTAATTCTTAGTCGTTTGAGAATTGGGCATACTCGGTTGACTCATCAATACTTTTTGAAGGGTGAAGACCAGCCAGTATGTGAGTATTGCAACTGCTTTCTAAGTGTAAAACACGTTCTTTGCAACTGCACAACTTTTGATTAAAGTCATAGACAGCATTTTGGAAATGCAAGTTTGAGAGAGATTTTGGGCCAGAGGCCAAATCTTGACAAATTATTGAACTTTTTGAAAGTGAATAATATTTATAAACATATTTAATTATTTGTTAATTTATTTATGTATATATTTTGTTATTATTTACATGTGTATTGTTATATATTGTTTTGTTATTGATTTTGTTATTTATTGGTTTATTTATTTATTCATATTAAACATCTTACATTATATATATATATATATTTATTTATTTATTTATTTATACCATTTGCCATGGTTCAGCTTGGCCTGTGTGGCCTCTGCGCCAATAAACTCTAACGAACGAACTAACTAACTTTTAGCTCTGTATGTTAAACTGCGGTTTGTATCATGTGATCTGTTACGATTTTTCTGTTATTTGAAGATAATTCGTTTCTAAATACAGTAAACCGCGTTGTAAAAGTACCATGTTGTAAGAAAATTTCTGCATTTTTCCAACTGCATTGGAGCGAAAATGCGTTGTAAAGGTATAATGTCATTTGATAACTGTCAACTATTACCTGACACCATCTCATTTTACATGTTCTTGACACTGAAAGTGATGCTTTTTCACAACCTTTGGCCTTCCAACTGTATGCTACTCATATGAGTTATATGTATATTCATGGATATTCTATTTGCATATAGTGTGTAATTAGATAAGAAATTAATATGTAGTACATAAAATTATAATACAGTAGAGCCTCGATTATCCGACTTTTGATTAACTGACACCTCTGTTAACCAATTGTCCTAGTCGGCAAATTTGAAATGTCTGCTAGTGATGTTGTGTTACAATATTTGGCTATGTCTTGGCTACTTTAATATTATTTTTACGTGTTTTAGCTGGAAACACTCATTTGACCATGAAAGGGAGCCAGTATTTAAACGAGGCTTAATTTTCTAATTTTTAACGTTACAATAGCGACGATTATTATTTTAAAAAATATTTGTTAGGCTTAACATCGATGAAAATTCAACGCGAAGTAGGTCAATAGCGATATACTAATATACTAATTACATGGGATATAATAATATATTACACTAATAATGGATTTTTTCATACTTTTCAATTATCCGATTAACCCCAGTCCCCAATTGAGTCGGATAATCGAGGCTCTACTGTAATGATAAATTTTTTTGTATGTCTCTTATGAAAGTGTGTATTGGCAATTAGTGCAATCAAAATATAAACTGATTTTTATCCAAATATTTGCTATAATAATAATTTTCTGAAGAAAGAATAAATATGTAACATTATTTTTATTTATTTGATGAAAAAAGTTTATCGGAATTTTAGTGAATCAACATATTCATTAATTTAAAAGCAAATATTCTAAATGTTTATCATTAGAATTTACATTATGCTGTAATGAAATACTCAGGTGAAGTTCATCCAACAACAGCTTATACTAGTGAATTCAAAAATTTTTAATACATTCTTTTATAAGAATAAATGTTTTCTTTTGTTCAAATAATTCAAAAATTTTTTAAAGGTCAAACCAAATAATAACCTCCTGAAATACTAATGGAATTAGAAAATTAAGACATATTTCAATAGTTAATTTTTTCTTCCTGCAAAATAACTGAATTACTTATTCAATTATGTAATACAAACAAGAAATGAATTAATATAATTAGGTATAATAGAGAATAACATGTTAATGTTTACAGTATATTGGTCAGATATGTAACCAATATACAGATATGTGAATCGAGGGGATCAGAGCGGAGAGCTTCTCCCCACTTACCGGCTTCATTGTCAGGAATGGCTTTGATAAGTGAGGTGGAGGGGTAGTGAGGTCGTGACAAGGTGTCCAAATGACTACACGGGTAGAACTAAACTAACACATTTAGTAAACAAATAAGAGATTATACATAAAGACAATAAATATAACACATGCGTAACAAAAGTAAAAATCTATTCTATATTCTAACCTAACCTAAAGCTAAAGATCGAGAGAGACCTCTCTAAGAGGGAGGCGTCGGAGAGAGAGACAAAATTCTGGCAAGGGTTTACCTTGTAGGATGCGATTTCTTCGTATAGGGTGTTGGTAGGATGCTCTGGGATTTGTCACTGAACTTCCAATCAAAGTTCCCTTGGATGGCGATATGGAGCGATGGACAGGGTAGATGTCTTCGATGATGCTGTAGAGGTTTTTGATTATGCTGTAGAGGTCTTTTTCAGCTGTCCGAAGGGTTTCTTCGGCGTTAGCTCCTTGGCTAATCGCCAGGAGGAGCAAATTCGACGCCTTTATATATTCACTTCTCATGGGAAAAATCTGGGATTTCTAGTAAAAATGATTTTAATATAATATTTTATTTTCAAGTAATTACTATATATTTTCAATCTTAATGTACACATTACTTTCACAATTTAATGTTTCTGAAATTAAGATATAGTTTATATCAAAAGAAATATGCCAATTTGAAAACTACAAATAACGAGTTATAGTGTAGTTGTCATTACCTCTACATTCTCATATAAGTTTATCTGAGAGTCATTTCATTTATGTGCATCAATATGCTGTAAGAATTGAATTCAACTAAAATTTGGATTTAAATTCCCATTTAATATTTCAAAAAGTTATGATACAGCTTTGCAACAAAAATGTGCTTTATGTACAGTATATAGAAGAGGATATAAATAATATAGCAGATTGTAAATATTCATAATACATTCTTTTATTTTAGTATACCATTCAAACTCAGACATGTGGGTAATTTTATAGATATATTTATGTTGTGATTTTTATGCTTTCTAAACTTTTAAAGTATGTATTCAGTAAAGGTCATCGTTGTTGCGTGATTTATACTGACTCAGTTAGTTCCCTTCAGGCTTTGATTTCATGTGAAACTAGTTCCCAGTCCATAGTGATTAAAATTTGTAAATTGTTTTGCCATCTTTTTGCAATGAATTTCTCTATAAAATTTTGTTGGGTCCCAGGCCATGTAGGTATAAGAGGAAATGAAGTAGCTGATGCAGCTGCAAAGTCAGCTAGTCCTTCACAGCATACAATGCATATTGAAGGAGGCGATTTGAAGCCAGTCGTTATGAAACGACTAGTGGCGATATGGCAAAATATGTGGAATGCACAAGTCCACAATAAACTACATGAGATCAAACCTATGATAGAAAATTGAACACATAATAAATATTACAACAGGAGATCTGAGGTTATTTTTACTCGTCTGAGGATTGGACATACTCGGTTGACTAATCAATACCTTTTGAAGGATGAAGAGCAACCAGTATGCCAGTATTGCAACTGCTCTCTAAGTGTTAAACACATACTGCTCGATTGCTCTGCCTTTGAGAACAGTTGTAGACAGCATTTTGGAAATGCAAGTTTTAAAGAGATTCTGGGCCAGAGACCAAATCATTATAATGTATTGGACTTTTTAAAAGTCATTAATTTGTATAAAAAAATTTAATTATTTATTTATATATTTATTTCATTTTTGCATGTTGTTGTCTGTTTGTACTTACTATGTGTGTATATTTATTTTTGTTGTTGTTGTTTATTTATTTAGTTATTACTGTCATATGTTAGTTATTTATCATGTTTAAAAATTTATAACTATTTGCCCTGGCGCAGCATAGCCTATACGGCTGTTGTGCCAATAAACAAAAAACGAACCAACCAACTAAACTTTTAATTGATAGAGCATTTTAGTATTGAAGAAATGTGATATATTTTTAATTGTTGTTTTGTAGTTTGCTTATTAGATTATTTATTTGTCTTGACACCTATGAGACAAGCATTCATAGTTTCAGTTACATTTTAATATTAGAAGTTTAATGATTGTGAAGGATAATTGCCAGTTTATCTCAAAATAGAGAACATATAACACATATAAGAAAATTCGAAAAGATTTAAAAAGTTGCAGAACAAATGTCGGTTTTGAAATCAGAATCATTTGATTGTTCTGTTCCTGATGGCATTTCAAAATGGTTGAAAACGTTAGAAAATTTGAATTAAAGGCTGCATTATAATGGTTTTTGTGTGTTGAAAATAGAGAACAAAAATTTTAACATATTAAAACAACTCAAAATAGAATTTTTCAAATAGATTTAGACAAAATCTTGTTTAAAAAAAATTTTTTTACTGCTTTGCATAACTTCATTGAAATTAAATAAAAATTTAAACTCTATTTATTAGTAATTTTACCAAACGTCATATTACTATTTTTAAGTGACTATTAACAACTCGGTTTAATTATGTTAAATTATATTGCTGTTGTTTAAATAGTAGAATGATTTAACATAACCGTAAGCAAATTATTGTACTTTAAATAATAATAAACCTGGACAAGAATATGATGAATTTGTTATCTCAGGAATTGTATTTAATAACAGATATTATATGTTTTTCAATAACGTTTCAATATAATGAATGTCATAACAAAATAAATAAAAATATGACTTTATTCTCTTGATGTTTAATATCTCAGATATGTAACAGAGTAAAATGAGTTAGGTTAGATTAAGTGTTTTAAAACAATAATTATATGTTGCTTTTAAACAGAAACGTGCTTTTACAGAGATTTGTTAACATTTCCTTCATTATGTTTTATTTCATACTTTGCAGATAAATCAACAAAATTTAATAAAAATTTGGAAAATTATAGACAGTGATGAATAGCAACTATATTAACTTTGATTTGTACCAAGAAAAACACAAAATATACGAAAACAATTCACTTTATTAACAATGTAACAAGATAATATAACAATAAATAAATGGCAGAAAATGGAGGAGCAGAAACATCTCTCAGGAACCACAGCTGTAAGAGAAAATATTGTTTTGAACATTATGAAAAATTTATCCACAAAACTAAAACAGAATTATATTAATTTATGCACTTACCTTTGTGCTAGCAGCGATGTTTTATGAGGCAGTTTGCATGCACTCCCTTCCCACAACGTGCACAGGCTTTTGTGGTCGTCTTTTTGCGCTTTGAGGTGCTGCACACAATGCACCTGTAAGCTGTTTTTTCTGGGAGCTTGCGGAGACCTGCTGGTCTTCGTGGTTTCGGAGGATG